CTCTTAGGACCTTTACACACCTCCGTCTCTCCCTGACCTCTGATGTTGAGGACACAGTGCCAGAAGTAGCTGTAGTCATGGCTGTGGTAGTGGCTGCAGCATTTACAACAGATGGTGCAACAGGAACGGTCACTGCTGTAGGAACACTGTCCTTTTCTTTCTCAGTACTATCCTCAGCCCACAAACGATTTGAGGTACTACAGCATAACAAGCAGCAACACAAAAAAAGAGAAAAGGAAACAGCTAAACAATGAAAGCACTTTACTAAACAACTAATAACATGTAAATTGAGGGATGGATTTTTTTTTAAGAAGCAAACTGAGAAAGCTCAGCTTGAGCTATTAAATTGAATAAATTAAGAATTACCAGTTTACAATAATTGAACTTTTATTCTTCAGACCCTTCTAACATTTGATTTATTCTTTGGTATCAACATGGCTTTCTTGTTACAGTAGAAAGCCATTCACAATTTTTGAGCCAAATTGTATAAAATCAAAACAAATTTAACAGGAAAGTGAAAAAATCCAGAGCCCCAGGATCTACTAAACAAGAACGCATGCACATACATAAGCACACAGTAGACCTGACAAAAAAAATAAAGGAAGAAAATGTCCTGGTGCCATTACCTGCTTTGTACACCTGCTGAAGTAGAACCCGTTGTACTCTTCGTAGTAGTGTTTGTGCTGGCAGGCAGCGTTTTCTGAAGACCAGCAGAAGAGGTAACCGTTGATGCAGTACTTGGAACATTAGAACTTATCAAATCATCTTGTCTTCTACCAAAGGAGCCACTGCAGGAGAGACGTGTACAATGGTTGCATTTATTACTTATATTTACTCATTAAAATATCACCAAGCTGTGAATGCTCTATTGAATTTCTGCCCGTATATTCTGTGCCTCAGTTGAGTCTTGGAAACTTCTGGTGCAAAAGATGTGTTTTTTTCATTGTTTCCTTGGCTAGGACTTTTAATTTATGACTTTGGAGGGCAGCAGAAGTGTCCCTTAGTCCCGACCATTTCTTCACCAAAGAGGATAAAGAATGGAATCTCATTCGTTTATGTAAGAATGTCTTGATCACATCTACTAAAGTATTCATATAGGGCCCCCAATGTCCCATTTTTAAACTGCTGTTTCACCCACACTGAATACCTCAGAAAATGCAGAACCTTACTGAACAGCTTGTCAGGAAAGAAAATGTCATCAATATCACTCCTCTTATAATTTGAAAGCAATTAAATACACTGCCCCATTTTAAAAAAATCTTTAATCATTCCCAGGAAGAATAACCTCCCACTCAGTTTTTTCCCTTGCTCTTCAAGCTATAAAGTAGACCAGTGGTTTCCAAGAAATAAATATGCATTATTCTGTATTAGACAGCCTGGTTACTGATAATATCAATGTCAAGACTCAAAATAATGCTAAGTATGTGTACCAATATGCAGCTTAATTATTAGACTCTTTCCTTTGATTTATTAATTTCAGCTATTTATTGCCCCACTAATTACAAGGAAGAATTTGATTCAAATAGCTACACTGAACCTACACAATGCAACAAAGTTAATCATGTATATATGTGCACTATATGATTCCTCCTGAGAAAATTCTGCAAGTTAGGAACTGGCATAACTGAGACCTACTCTCATATTTTCATAATTTACTTTGCATTCAAGTGAATTTTATGTATTCTATGATGCTCAACATAGGCATGGCTATAATTTACAATTAAAGACAGTGGTCCAGTACCTCAAGACTGTCATGCAATAACCAGAATTCAAGAGATAGTGTTTTCCCCCTTATCATATATTAAGCAGAATTATTTTTATCGCAACATTTAAAATAAATATCTTTGACTACTGAACTCATCTGGAAAGAGGCAAATGAACCCCAAACTGAAATAAACAATAGGAAAAAGAAAGCATCTAACTTTAATTACATAGTTCAAAATCAGCACAACCACTGCATCAGCGTACACCTGCACATTTAAAACCAGCACAACTATTGCAATATATACTTTGCAATTATTATGAACATGGCATTTTGTCGGCATTCAATTTTATACTGTCCTTACAAAATGATTCAGTACTTGTTAACTTTTAAGCTTATTTTGATTTAAAAATAAAAAAATAAAAAAAGAAGAAAATCCCACACCTTCTTTGATAACTTGTGTTTAATGGTGTAGGACCTTCATTCAAACTGTTTTTCTTGACATCTTCTTCCCATTTTCTCCTGGTGTAGGAACTGCCACCACGTATTGAACTAGCAGATGAATCCCTGTAAAAGATTTTGGGTTAGCAAACTCACATTAAAGAAGGCTGTTCTGGATGTGAGCTTTGAATTAAAATCCTGGATAACACACTTAAAATAAACATAACTGAATAAGGAATAAAATTGCATTTATGGACAATCATTTTAAAGCCTCTGTGGAAAGATACTACATTCATACTAACACAATTAGAAACATAAAAAGAAAGCAGCATCAAAAGAAAACTGCTAAAGAGGATTTAATCAACATGAAATCAATTGTTGGCTTTTATCTGTGGTCATTGCTGGCTTTGTTTTTCTCAAAAAAGCAACACGATGTTTTTCTGTTTGCTCCTGAAATTATCCAATCTACTTGGGGTTTTTAATAGCTGATTTGATGGAATTTTTCCTTCTTTGATGTTATAAGAAGTTTAAAAGCTGACAAGCCTTTAGAACTCATGATACTGCAAAACCAGTGTAACTAGACTTGCAGTAGCCATTCCTGAGGGGTCTGACATGTATCACTAGCTGACATGACTTCAGTCATAAGGAATTTCCAGACTGCTGTTGCAGTTTATAGAAGCAAGGAATAACCTTGCAAAAATCTGCTTATAAAAACTATCCCTTAAACTGACACGCAAAAACTGAATTTCTAATAAAAATATCAGCTCAAGATCTGAAGTTCAGCCAGTAGGAAGAATAAAACATGTCTTCCACAAAATTATATATAAGACAATCAGGTGTACAAGACAAAATAAAATAAAACTTTGAAAAAATATATTTTTATGTTCAGATTCCTTTGGCCATCATT